ACTTCATGGCAAATAGATGGGGAAACAGTGGAAACAGTGGCTGGTTTCGGGGGGCTCCAAAATCTTGCAGATGGTGACTGCAGCCATGAAATTAAAAGATGTTTACTCCTTGGAAGGAAAGTTTTGACCAACCTAGACAGCATATTAAAAAGCAGAGACATTACTTTGCCAACAAAGGTCCATCTAGTCAAGGCTAGGGTTTTTCCAGTAGTCATATATGGATGTGAGAGTTGGACTATAAAGAAAGCTGAGCACAGAAGAATTGATGCTTTTGAATTGTGGTGTTGGAGAAGTCTCTTGAGAGTCGCTTGAAGTTCGAGGAGATTCAACCAGTCCATCCTAAAGGAGATCAGTCCTGGGTGTTCATTGGAAGGATTGATGTTGAAACTGAAACTCCAACACTTTGGCCACCTGATGCGAAGAGCTGACTCATTTGAAAAGACCCTGATGCTGGGAAAGATTGAAGGCAGGAGGAGAAGGGGGCGACAGAAGATGAGATGGTTGGATGGCATCACTGACTCAATGGACATGAGTTTGAGTAAACTCCTCGAGTTGGTGATGGACAGGGTAGCCTGGCATGCTGCAGTCCATGGAGTCACAAAGAGTTGGACATGACTGAGTGACTGAACTGAACTGAACTGAGCCTGCCTGGCTCCTCTGCCCATGGGATTCTCCCAGCAAGAATACTGGAGTGGGTTGCCATTTTTTATTCAACCAGAGGATCTTCCTGATAAAAGGATTGAACCCATGTCTCCTGCATTGGCAGGTGAATTTATTTTACCACTAGAGCTACCTGGTAAGCCCCACAATATTCATACATATATATTATTCATTCATTCATTCTATCCTTAACTTAAAAAAAAAGAAAAAAAACTTGAAATGGAGAATCTTGCATTTCTCCCTGTCCAATTTCATAATGCCAATTTTACCTTGGCTTTATCTTTCAAGATCATGTAGAATTTTGATTCTATCATTTACCTTATTATCATTTACCCTATCATTTACCCTATTATAAACCTCCCTGTCAGGCTTGTTTCTCCTTCTTATTTTCCCATAAACCTTCCATATTTTCCCCCAGGCAGAGGATCTTGGCATAATTTAAGTGTTTCAGAAAGAAATAAATGTGGAGGAGGACTTTGGAATCCCACCGACCATGGAATTATGGGATTTGAATCAGGCTACCAAGATTTCAGGGCTTCCCAGGTGGTGCTAGTGGTAAAGAACCCGCCTGCCAATGCAGGAGGTAGAAGAGAGGTGGGTTCAATCCCTGGGTGAAGAAGGGAGGAAGGAGTAGCACCCCACTCCAATATTCTTGCCTGGAGTATCCCAGGGAAAGAGGAGCCTGGTAGGCTACAGTCTATGGAGTCATAAAAGTCGGACATGAGTGAAACGACTTAGCACACACCCATGCACCAAGATTTCAATGGGCTGTGGGATTCCAGCTGATAAGTGGGTTCCCCTGGAGAGATCTGACTTCAAACAGAAGTGCAAAGACAGGCTGATTTGCACCTCCTTCTAGGAGACTGTTTAGGTGCTGAGGCAATGGAGGCAGGAGCAGGGAGGGTCATAAATTCGAAGGCAGATTGGAGGGAGGAAGAAATTCGAAGCAGCTATTCCCAGGTTCCCCAGCTGGATCCACAATGATTCTCAGTCTAGCAAAAAGCCCCTCTGCCTCCTCTCCTGCTGCTCCAGAGGACGGAAAAGTCAGCATTCTCCCCATGCTGATGACATCTGTTACTGCCAGGGATTAAGAACGGCCTCCAAAGATAACTGCCCTGTTATCTGTTATTTCCAGACTGAATAGCCTAAAGTCACCCACTCTAAAACCAAGATCCCTTTTTTTTTTCTTGGTTTGTTTTTTTTTAATGGTCTAGTAAGACCTGCTAGGGAAATTCTCCAGGCTATAATGATCACATTCATAATCTATGGAAATGGATGGCTCTTAGGCCAGCATAAGGAGGTCTGTATGCATCCTCAGCCTTTTCTCAATCACAGCGATATCACTTTTATATGTTCTTTATAAGGGATTTCTGTATCGAATTTACCTAAATAATGAGTTCTACGCTTTAGTTAAAGTCTTAAAAGTGTTGCTCAGAGCTTTTTGAACTTAATCGCTCTTCTGTTTGTCTTTGGGTTGGAGCAGAGAGAGAAATATGCGTTTTCCTGGTGGTTCAGATGGTAAAGAATCTGCCTGCAATGCAGGAGACCCAGGTTTGATCTCTGGGTGAGGAAAATCCCCTGGAGAAGGGCATGGCTCCCCACTCCAGTATTCTTGCCTGGAGAATTCCATGGACAGAGGAGCCTGGTGGGCTACAGTCCATGGGGTCACAAAATATCGGACATGACTAGTGACTAACATACACACATAGAGGGAGAGACAGCGTTTGAAAAAAGAAAACTGACTCTGCCCATAGATTCTCTTGATTCACCTTCAGGTAGATGAGGCTGTGGCCATGTGTCTTTGTTAGTTGCAAGAGGTAAAAACCCTCCTTAAGTTTATCAAGGAGCGTTCATTGGCCTGTGTAACTGGAAAGTGCAAAGGGTAACCTGCTTCAGGCATAGCTGGATCCAGGTGCTCAAAGGTTATCATCAAGCAGCTGCCTCTGCTCACATTGAGATGCTTTCTCTTTTCTTGACTTTTTAATTAATCAGATGACCAATTTTAAACTAATCACCTTGCTCAGGAGATGGAGAATGCTTGCTGGCCTGCCTGGGTCATCTGTCCACATCCATAGGAAGGCCAACAGAGAGAGAGTGGGAAGTCTCTAAAAAGAGATGAAAGGAAAAGTGTTGGATGGACAAAATGATAAAATTTATTCCTACCATTGTAATAGACTAGAGACCCCAGAAACTAAGGTATGTTTATATAGAATCTAATATATGGATGCAGGTGGTTTGACAGATCAGTGGGGAGATGAGATGCTATTTACCAAAAGGTGGTGATAAAATGGTCACTCATCATGGGAGGAAAAAAGTGAAATTGGATCACTGCCTGACACCACACCAAAAATGAATTTCGGATGAATGAGAGACCCAAGGGTCATTGTAAAAACTTTCAAACTCTTATGTAATGTAGTGAAAAGTATCTTTCTCATTTTAGGATAGGGGAAAAAAATAAAGATAAAAAGGACTGAGTATAATAGACTGACAAATTTAAGAATATTATAATTAAGAAATTTTGTTAATCAAAAAAGACATATTAAAGAAAAGAATCAAGCTATAAACTAGAATATATACATACTACACACACCAGGCAAAGGGTTAGTATAAAAAGACACAAATATCAAAACATTTAAGAACTCTTACAGTGCAACAATATGATAAATCAATAGAAAAACTGAGCAAAAGACATGGAAAGACATATTACTAACCAAAAAAACATGCAATAAACTTAAGAAGAGCCGCTCAAAATGCAAAATCAGCGAAATGCAAATCAAGATCTTGATGAGATTGAATTTTATGTTCAGGTAATTGATAGAAATTTAAAAGTCTAACAATATCAAGTGTTGATCAGAATGTGGAACAAAAAGAATGCATATTGTACACTGCTAGTTGGAATGTGTACTGGTATCATCATTGTATAAGACAGTTTGGCATCAATATGTAAACTTGAACATTTATTATCTATAAAGAAAGCTGAAAGCCAAAGAATTGATGCTTTTGAACTGTGGTGTTGGAAAAGGCTCTGAGAGTCCCTTGGACTGCAAAGAGATCCAACCAGTCCATCCTAAAGGAAATCAGTCCTGAATATTCATTGGAAGGACTAATGCTGAAGCTAAAACCCCAAAACTTGGGCTACCTGATGCGAAGAACTGACTCCCTGGAAAAGACCCTGTTGCTGGGAAAGACTGAGAGCAGGAGGAGAAGGGGATGACAGGGCATGAGATGGATGGATGGCATCACTGACTCAATGGACAAGAGTTTTTGCAAATTCTGGGAGCTGGTGATGGGCAGGGAAGCCTAGCACACTGCAGTCTGTGGGGTCGCAAAGAGTCGGACATGACTGAGTGACTGAATTGAACTGAATGAATGAGGAGTTCACTCCTAGGTACACCCCAAATGCATCTCTAACATATGTGTCAGCAGATGTGACAAGATGCTCATAACGATGCTAGTTTTAATAGCAATCCAGAGACAACCCAAATGCCTATGGACAGGAAAGTGGATACAAATGTGGTGGTATATTTGGAGGGATTCTCTGGTAGCTCAGCTGGTAAAGAATCCGTTTGCAATGCAGGAGACCCTGGTTCAATTCTGGGGTTGGGAAGATCCCCTGGAGAAGGGATAGGCTACCCACTCTGGTATTCTTGGGCTTCTCTAGTGACTCAGATGGTGAAGAATCTGTACAGCAGTGAAAAAGATTGGCTAAGGCCACAGAGTATGAGAGAAGTGGACCTTAGTGACCTAATGACATACAGCATGCCTTTTCAATGCAATTCAAATAACCACTGAAAACAAAAGATATCTCTTTTAGGCATACATACATACATATGTGATAAAACTGTGTCTTAAAAAAAAAAAAACAATGACAAGGAAATGACAGAATAATACACAGAACGATGGTTATTTTAGGGTGAGAAGGACCAGGAAAATAGCAGGTGAAAACCACATAAATGTGTAGAAAGTTCTAGTTCTGGAGATGCCCTTGGCTCATGGGTGTTCGTTGTATGAATTGACTCTGACAGTGAGTCATGACTGGAGGATTTCCATTTATCTGACTCTATGCTCCAGAAATCTGTTTGGTTTTTAAATGGTAAGTTGTTGGATAAATGCATGCAAATGTGAAGGCAAAGATCAGTGCTTAAGAGAGACAGTCGGAAGCTGATGGTTCGAAGATGATGTTTAAAGCCCTGGGAAGAATTTGCATGATGAGGAAGAAGTCAAGGAAGGGAGGCTGTGGTCGCCACTGTTTAGAGACACGGCAGAGAAGCTGAGCCAAGACGGGGCCCCGAGGAAGGAAGGAGAACACTTGAGAGGGGCATCTGCACCCTAAGAAAATAATGCATCTGAAGAAGAAGGTAGTGGTCAGCTGTGCTGAGAAACGTCAGGCCAATGAAGTGACCACTGGATTTCACAAATTCAAGGTCATTGATGACCTTGAGCAGAGACAATCCTATGGAGTGCAGCGAGATGAAACCTCTTTTCCTCAACAGGTTAGTGTGGCCAGCATCTAAGACTGGCTAATGCTTCCTAGGTATGGCAAAGAACCCCTCTGCCAATGTAGAAGACCTAAGAGATGCAGGTTTGATCCCTGGGTCAGGAAAATCCCCTGGAGGAGGGCATGGCAACCCACTCTAATATTCTTGCTTAGAGAATCCCATGGACAGAGGAGTCTGGAAGTCTACAGGCCATAGGGTTGCAGAGAATGGGACACGACTGAAATGATTTAGCACCCACACATAATGGATCCTTCTCTGAGTCCAGCACGGCCAGTTCCTGGTTCCTTGGCTTCTTTGAATTGCAAAGGCTTTGGGAAATAAAAGGGAATTTTATTTTAAACCATTATTATGCGACACCAAAAGTGTTTCTTGTTTTGAAATGCCTAGTGACGACCGGTTTTATTTTTATACCCACCATTTCCTTGCAAAGAAATTAAACAAATAAACAGATGCCTCTCTCTCTCTGTTTTGGCTTGGGTCCACAGACAATACAGTGCTTCCTGCACCATCTGCTGGCTCTGTAAAGGTAATTAACAAACGCACACTATTCCCAGATGAGGCTGGTTTCTAAAGGACAAATCACACCAGGCAAACGGGAGAGAAACAAAATTAGACCGTGGCAGGCATGCCGGCGGCTACAGACCCGGCCTCCACCGCAGTGCGTTGTTAAAGCCGCTTGTCAAATTTTAGCTCCTGGAAATGAATTCAAATGGGTTTAGCTAAGGAAACTAAATTTCACTCCTGCTGGGAGGCCCTTAATAAGGGGAGAGGACAATTTCAGGGTGTCCAGGATGTTTGTTTCTCAGATCTCATCCTCTGTCTTTATTTATCATCATTTTCTTAAGAAGGAGAAATTAAAACAGACCTCAGCAAAAGCTCAGGATATAAGGCGGCATGCGAGTCTGAACTTTGGCTTCAGAGGCAGGTAGGTGCGGAAACTCAGTGTCTGTCTGATCTGCCACGTGCTGTGTAGCCCCTCTGAGCCTCGTTCTCCCACCTGCACGCTGGGGACAGCAGTGATATGGAATGTTCGGACTCATTGTCACAGTGAACGAGATCATGGATTCAGCTCGGGGGCCACCTCCAGTGTCTGGCCAGTATGGAACCCACGGTCAGTGGCAGCTGCTGTTAACATCACTATCAGGTGAGGATTCAGGACAGGTGGCCTAATCCGCCCTCAGTGGCAGGGAATTAATAACCCTTCAAGCAAGATCCATATTCTAAAAGGGGGGGAAGCACTGAACATAAAAGGAGAGACTAGAAGAGTTGACCTTAACAAAAACCTAACTCATTTGAAAAGAGCCTGATGCTGGGAAAGATTGAGGGCAGGAGGACAAGGGGACGACAGAGGATGAGATGGTTGGATGGCATCAGCGACTCAATGGACACGAGTTTGGGTAAACTCCAGGAGTTGGTGATGGACAGGGAGGCCTGGCGTGCTGCGGTTCATGGGGTCGCAAAGAGTAGGACATGACTGAGTGACTGAACTGAACTGAACTGAAGTCTTAAAAAGATGCATTTAGGGGCAGAAGATACAATTACCATCCATACATGTTCAAAATATCTAAAACCCAACAGAGTAAGTGCTCATTTAAACTAGATTGAGAGGCTGGAGTAAGAGGTATGGGGTGGAGATTTAAAAAGTGGAGGAGAAAATGGGTTGCAGTAAGATTGAAATAAGAATTGCGGAAGCAGAGAATTGTCTCCCTGGGAATAAGGAATTAGTTGATATGCTTAAAGTTGTTGCTGTTGTTCAGCTGCTGAGTCCTGTCTGACTCCTTGTGACCCCATGGACTGTGGCACTCCAGGCTTCTCTGTCCTCCACTATCTCCCGGTGTTTGCTCAAATTCATGTCCATTGAGTCAGCAATGCTATTTAACCATCTCATCCTCTTCCACCTGCTTCTCCTCCTGCCTTCAATCTTTCCCGGCATCAGGGTCTTTTCCAGTGAGTCAGCTCTTCACATCAGGTGGCCAAAGTATTGGAGCTTCAGCTTCAGCAATAGTCCCTCCAAGGAATATTCAAAGTTGATTTCCTTCAGAACTGACTTATTTGATCTCCTGGCAGTACAAGGGACTCTCAAAAGTCTTCTCCAGCACCACAGTTCAAAAGCGTCAATTCTTCAGTGCTCAGCCTTCTTTATGGAGTTAGAAAGGACCAAATAGGACATAATGAAAGACGGGGAATCTTGGCATGCTTGTGGTCCACGGGGTTGCAAAGAGTCAGACACGATTTAGCAACTGAACAACGACAAACAGGAGATGGTTCTGTAACCTTACAGAGGCTCAGAAGATGCAGAGTGAGCGGACGAGGATGGGGGCTTCTTTGTTTTCTTTGCCTCTGACTGGTCAAGTCAGGGGTCAAGGGACCTGCTTCTGGTTCCTTAGAGAAAAACATCCCAGAAAGTGCTGTTCAGTGAGAGACCCAGGGCTGCCGGAAGCAAAGTCATAAGGTGGATGTTTGTTTTCTGATGGCAACAGAAGATGTCTCGGCCAGTAAAATGATAACGTCTGCAGCCCACGGTCCCCTCCCTGATGGCTGGAACTTCACTTTTGTGGAGGGAAAGAGTCTTCGTAAATGTCAAATTCACCCACACTCGCTGCTGGTGCCAGATCTCTTAAAATGTCACCTGCTCAGGGGCACCTGGCCCATGGCCAGAGGAGCCAACAGCCAGCAGACCGACCTGGAGAACAAAAGCTACCACCATCTATCTGCCCTGATTTTATTCAATGAACTTTGTCTTCTTCCTACTTGACAGCCTTCGATACTGACCTTCTCCTTGGTGACGGCTGGGAATTCAGAGCACGGTGACCTCAAGGCATCCAGTTCTTCCTATGAAATGCTTTGGAATTCTACCTCTTCTGAGATGTGTTCCCAAAAACCAGGACCAACCGTAGATAAATGGTCCTTCTCTGTTCTCTCTTCATGTTAGGGGCATCCTGCCGTCACTGTTCCTCGGATCTACTTCCTCATAATAGAAGTAGCAATTACTATAGACAGTACGGTAGTGGGTGTGTTAACTGGGCACGTGATGGCAGAGAGAGGCTTCCTGTAAAAGAAAGCCCTCAGTTCTGAGTCAAGAGTTGGGCTTTCCTAGATCAATGAGGGGAGGATGGAATTCCAGTAGAGAGACTTGGAGAAGGCTTGGTGGGTGGAATCATGACTGTGCTCCTATTTTCTTGGTTGGAGTATTTAGCGGGCACAGAAAGTGGGTGGCAAAGCTAAAATCAGAAACAGCTTTGCTTTACAACGGCCAGGCCATGGAAGCAACCTAGATGTTCACTGACAAAGGAACGGGTAAAGAAAATGTGGTATAGAGAGATCCACAGTGGAATATTAGCCAGCCATATAAAGAACAAAATAGTGCTGTTTGCAGCCACATGAATGCAACTAGAGATTGTCATACTCAGTGAAATAAGTCAGAGAAAGACCAGTATCATATGATATCACTTATATGTGAGATCTTTAAAAAATGATACAAATGGACCTATTTACAAAACAGAAAGAGTCAACAGATGTTGAAAACAAGCTTATGGCTACAGAGAGGGAAACGGGGTGGGGAGGGATAAATTGCATGATTGAGATTGACATATACGTACTACTAAGTATAAAATAGATAACTAATAAGATAACTAACCTATAACAGATAGATAACTAATAGATAGCTAACTACAATAACTAGTAATAACTATAAACTAAGTCTCCTCCTGTACAGAACAGGGAACTCTACTCCGTACTCTGTAATGACCTATATGCGAATGTGCGCTCAGTCGTGTCCGACTCTTTGCAACCCCACGGACTGTACCCCACCAGGCCCCTCTGTCCATGGGATTCTCCAGGCAAGAATACTGGAGTGGGTTGCCCTTTCCTTCTCCAGGGGATCTTCCTGATCCGGGGATTGAACCCAGGTCTTCTACATTGCAGGCAGATTCTTTACCATCTGAGCTACCAGGGAAGCCCATCGTATATGAGACTGGAACCTAGAAAAGAGTGAATATATGTATGTGGGTGTGTGTTAGTCACTCAGTCACGTCTGACTCTTTGCAACCCCCTGGACTGTGGCTCACCAGGCTCCTCTGTCCATGGACTTCTCCAGGCCAGAATACCAACCTGGAGATCTTCCCAACCCAGGGATTGAACCTGGGTCTCGCACATTGCAGGCAGACTCTTTACTGTCTGAGCCATCAAGGAATCCCAAATATAGGTATATGTATATGTGATTCACTTTGCTGCTCAGCTGAAACTAATGCAACACTGTAAATCAACTATACTTCAAAAAAAATTAAGTTACAAAAATAAAAGGCTTTCCACTGCCTGTCAAGGAATTTAGACCTTGTATCGGGGACAAAGACATCTAGTCAGAGTCTAAACAGCGGTGGCATGATTATGTGTGTTTGAGAAGGCTCATCCTAATGGCCGTGGGGGGACGGGATTGGACAGTACGAAAGGAGACCAGGGTGCGGGTTATTGAAATCGTCTCTGTGAAAAACGATGAGGGCTTGAAATAAGCAGTCAATGCCTTGGTATAGAAAGTGCTCATGTGGTGACATTACTAGCAATGGGCACAACTCGGGAGGAATCTCAGCTGACAGATGGCATCCAGGTTGCCCACTGCCTTATTTGCTCAGCTCTAGAATTCCTCTATTAACAAGAGAGAGATTTGAGGATGGACTTTTCTCATTCACTTTTGCATGTCCAATAACTATTTTGGTGCCCAATACATTTTTTCCCCCCTTGGATTGAGTGTAATTATTGAATTTAATGGAATTTATTTGGGGTGGAGACAGAAGGAATAAAGTGTCCGGGTGGCAAATTTAATGCTTGGACAATGATTTTACACTTTTTCACAAACACAGGCTTTCTTGATACAGCAGGTGCGTTTGAGCAGATGGCGCTATCATCCCCCAATTTTGCAAAAGGGAACTGAAGTTGTAGGGATTGAGGCACCTGTGCAAGGCTGATTCCTGAGCAGTAGAAATGCTGAGAGAGTAGCTTAGAGCCCAGGACACAGCCTTTTAGGACAGAGGCCCTCACAGAGCTCAGGGTATTCTCGGAGGAGGCGGTAGCTTCTTTACCTGTATTTTCGTGGGCATCCTCTCCCTCCCAACTGGACCTGGCCCGCTGGTAGAAGAGCATCCAGATGCTGAGGTCCGAGTTGGAAATTCTACAAACACCTGCAGTGGACACAAGGCCAAGGACGGGCATTTCCGGAGCCCCCAGGTGAGGCATGGCTGGTACCAACTCCTCTCTTTATCACCCCACCTCCCACACGTGTGACACTGCTGAGATCTGTGATGATAAGTCACAAAGACTATACTGCAATCTCCCTGGGTCAGGGAGACCCCCTGGAGTAGGAAATGGCAACACATTCCAGTATTCTTGCCTGGAGAATTCCACTGGACAGACGGGCCTGGTGGGCCTCAGTCCCTGGGGTTGCAGAGTCAGACCCGATTGAGCAATTGAGCGTGCATTACTGCAATCTGGGGATTTCCCTGGTGGCTCAGTGGTAAAGAATCGCCAGCAATGCAGGAGGCACAAGAGACTCAGGTTCGGTCCCTGGGTTGGGAAGGTCTTCTAGAGTAGGAAATGGCAACCGACTCCAGTACTCTTGCCTGGAAAATCCCATGGACAGAGGAGCCTGGCGGGCCCCAGTCCACGGGGCCGCAGAGTCGGACATGACTGAGTGATGGAACACAGCACATGCTACAATCTAGGCTTCTCTCCACCCTTTCATCTGCTTTCTTCCCTGTTCCCACCCCTGAAATGGCATCGTAATATTTATGGAACAAGTTCAAGTTCCCCGCCTGGCACTAGAGAGCACCCTTGACCCCAACTGTCTTCTCTTTCATCATCTGTCCTCCTGTCTTTACAGGCACCTTCTCTTGTAACCAGAGTGTGGATGACGTTGGCTTTCCTGCCCCTGAG